GTTAGGGTTAGGTGGGGGGGGGGGCGGCATGACATGGGCTTCTCTCCCACTCCCCCCGCCATGCTTGATAGGTAATTTGCCACTAACTTTACAGCTGTTTGGATCTTTTTAAAGGCACCACAGCCAATTTGCTTGTGTAGCAAGTCTAAATTTATTGTGCAATTGAATAACATACCTAACGTGTAAAGGGGGCCTTAACGAAGTGCACTAGCAGTTTTTGTTTCAATTTGTGTAGGATTATATACCTGTGTAAAGCATTTCAATTTCAAAAAATGCCGTGAAAAGGCTATTGCACTAATCTTAACTATTGACTCTTTTGGTAACTATGCTGTCCCATAAAGAAGAAATCTGTTTAGTAATATCTTTTATTGGACCAGCAATATAGTTGAGAGAGCTTAGACAAGCATTCAACCACAAAATGCCCTTCCTCAGATCTTGGAAAAAAGCAGATGCAGCCCAAGTTAAATGCCAGGTAGAAAAATTACTATTTAACTCCATCATATAAATGGACAGCAGCAGGATAGTGAAAGCTGTTGTCCCCCTGCTCTACCTTTAGCAGCTTAAGGCATTATGCCTTGTACATGTGTTACGAAGTTGATAGTGTAGTTTTAATAATAAGTCAGACAAGGACTTGTACAGGATAGTTTAGATAGGGATGAACATGCCTCAGGCTAGATGACCTTCAGAGGTCCTTTCCAGCTCTACTTTTTCATGATTCTAAAGAAAATGTGGTCACTTACAAAAGGAAGAAGGGCAGTAATTTGCATAAAGATGGACTATGAATATTGCTTTTGATTATGACAATACGGCTTTCAGATCAGTAAGCAGTTTTACTTGCTTCTTTCTCTGCTTGCAAGATTTTATAATGTACTTGTGCATAAAGCACAACAGGCTTCCACTATGATTGATTTTAATATAAACATTAAATTCACCTGGATTTTCACTTTTGACAGAACGCTGAACAACGTATAGAAAGCAAAGAAAATCAATTCAACGGTTATGTAACTCATTGTGCATAAAAGCTAAGATTTCAGAAAATGTTTTGAGCTTTTTCAGTAACAAATTCAAGACAAGTGAAAAATGTTTCACTAGGGGGAGCCAGAGACCAAAATGCAGTTTATGTAATTAAAAAACAAAAACAAGCCACATCTCAAACCATAGAACAATATACTAGTTTATTATTCTACAGTACTTGCTTACGCTGTTGATTTGCTGGCCCTTATATCATAGCTTAAGTATTGCATCCATTCCTGCTATTTAACATCAATCCTTTGGGGGGTGGGTGGGAAAGGGGAGAAAGGGCTTTTGTTAGGTTAACACAGGGGCGAGCAATTATTTTGCAATTAATTTTGGTCCATTGGCCACAAAGGCAGTTCTGGGGAGCTGCTGCAGGTTGGTCAGCACCCCCCCCACCTCCAGCAACAGCTCAGAGCCCACGCATCCTGTGGCTCCTCCCTGCCACCCCACAGCCCCAGCCCGCCCTGCCCTGCCTTCCTTGGCAGCCCAGCAGTGGTGGCTCCTTCTGGCTTCCACCACCACTGTGGTAGGGGTGGGCACCTGTGCGCACAGCTCTGATCCCATCCCACCCCATGCCTGCTCCAGACTCACCCAGTGAAGCAGAGCAGCTCCAGACTAGCCAGAACCTTCACGTGCAACCCTGCCCTGCGCCTGCCCCCAAATGCCCAGCCACGCTGAGCAGTGGTAGTGGCTGGGCAGACACTGCTGCTCGGCCCAGGGTAAAAGCGCTGCCCCCCGCCACTGCCAGGCGCTTCTTCCTGCAGCTGCCTGGAATCTGCGCCTGAGCTGCCCTGCGGCTCCTCTCCGCTGCTGTTACCACCACCTCTGCCTCCAGGTCCCATCTGGTCTGGAGCTGCTCTGCTCCACCGGGCGAGTCAACAGTGGTGATGGTGTGCATTGGGGTGTGCATGCAGGTCCCTGCCAATACCACAGGGCTGGGGCCAGCAGTGACAGCAGCCAGAAGGAGCTGCTGCCACCATCTCTACTGCCTAGAAAGGCAGTCCACCTGCAGACCCCACTACATGCCCAGGGGGCAGCAGGATGTGCCACAGGCTGGGCAGTGCCTCTTTGCTGGCTGGATCTGGCTGACAGGCCATATTTTGCCCACCCCTGGGTTAACAAATCAGTTCTATATTTAAGTACAGGTTCATGTTCATTAGAAGCCATGTTTTTATTTTTCTTTTGCACAGGGAATGATATTTTATTTTACAGAAGGAATTTACTTCACTTCTTAGAAATGTGATTTTCAGTTGGATGACTACTTGAGCTACCACGATCTCTGGAAGACAGCCAGCAGTGCTCAGGGACGCCAGTCATATACTTTTAAGGTAAGTGTGACATACTGTCACAGTCGCATGACACCCAAGACAAGTGACTGGAATCAATTAAACAATTTGAGGAGTACTGATAATTTATACTGAATTTCCTTGCACACAGCAGAACATTTTTTTTCCAAAAAGCCTAGCTGTTGGAAATTATGTTGCAAACTATACCCAAGGAAATAAGAGTAAAAGCAGTGTCTGCCACTTTCCTTTGGTTTTGCCCAGCAGAAGTTTAAGTCTGCACCAGATCTAGAAGAAGCGGAATACTGGAGAAGTCTCAGCTCCCTTGCTGCTGGTACTCAGTTATTACTACTGCAAGGAAAGATCTTTTTCTTTTCATTCTGCCTTTCAAAAACAAAGTACATCTCCTATTTGGAGACATGTAACATGCAAGAAAATATGGTATACTGCATGAATCCTACAGCCCTACTATTAAAGATAAAACAGTTCTTTAGCCACCCAGGGAGTTCTATCAAGTAAGGTCCACTATATCAGGTCCATTTGACTTGTTTTCAGGTTACTGGCTTTGAATGACCCCTGAATATTATTATATGCTTCTAGTCTACAGTAATATTTGAATAAGAAAATAACAATACAATATTAACTGGCACTTACTCAGTTCGTATTTCTGTATCATCATGACAGGAATGACACATGGCACTGAACCGAGAAACAAAAAAGTCATAGCGTCTGTGATAGGAAGGTGTGTCTTCCTCAATATTGGCAAATTTGACAAACTGAGGAAAGAAAAACAGTATTAGAAAAGCTTTGCAATACATTTTGTAAAAGAAAACTGTTTCAAAGCATTAATTATGAAAACATGATTTTTTTTTTTTTTTTAATACTCATCTGGTTTAACATTGAACAGAAAAAAAACATGTTACTGTATGGTGAGTAATAATGTTTAAACATACTAGAGGGTCCCCCACACTCCCCCATAGATGCACCATGTGGCACAGGACCACGTCTGCCTGCTCCTGTGGCTGGGCTGCCCTGCTGTGGCAGAGACCCTCGGGGGAAGAGACATACTGGTACCCTCTTTAAGTTGCCGCCCCAATTATACTACTTCATGCAGACGTTGTGGTCAGAGGGAAGGGGAAACATTTCAAGGCAAATCCATAAATGCTGGATTTCAATTTGCTTTCTTCTTTAGTTTATGTATTGGCCTCCTTGCTCTTGGCCTTTCCTTTGCAACTGATGGCTGGAAAACTTTTTAGAAAAGGAAACAGATTCTTATGAAATCTCAATTCCAACTAGTAGGGATCTAAACAAGCACATCAAATATTAAAAGACTCACCATAGCCAATTTTTCAAGCAACTGACACTATACTTATCTTAAAAAGAAAAAATACGTTTTACTTCAAGTTGTTCCATTTGGAGCTACAGTACATTATTTCAAAGTGATCTTACAAGTAACTGCATGAAGTACAACCTAAGTGCAAGTGAGAGCTTCTGAAATCTGAACATTCAAAATAATGCTTACGGCCTCAAACAGCTCATTTCTAGAGGAGGAAATTTCTACCGTCTAGTCATGCTTCCAGGAGAGGGAGCCATAGGAGCATTCAGCCTGTAGCCACCCTCTCTTCCCCTGCTCCTCCAGTCTTACCAAGACTGGGGTGATCCCTTGTCCAGGGAAGGCATGGGCAGCAGCAGGGGGAAGAGGGGAGAAGAGTAGGGTGCGGCGGGGGGCAAGAAGAAGAGAGGAGGGGAGGGGAAAAGGAGTCTTTTACTGCCACTCAACTCCCAGACTGATCCACTGGAGGGGTGTGGAGTGAAGTTGCTGGGCAAAGCTTCCAGGGCATTTCCTAGGCCAGGCAAGTCCATGGGGAAGCATAGGGAGCGCTACCCTAAAGAGAGTTTTCCTAGCCGGAGCTTTCCTCACACAGCTGGGTGGTGCACACAGCATTTAAAGTCTGCAGAGCCAGGAACTAGGGCAGGAGAACCTCACCGGAGGAGGGGGCCGCAGGAAGACGAGGAGACACCACCCGAGCAAAACGGGTGACAAATGCAAGGAGTGCCCAGGTACAAAACAGGGGTCCAGACAGTCTCCCAAAATCGGGGGGTGGCACACGCAGCTAGGCAAGGCCTTAAATACCTATATACCAATGCTCGTAGTATGGGGAATAAACAGGAGGAACTCACCCTCGGAATAGCTTGTTCAAACCCAGACATAATAGGGCTTACAGAAACGTGATGGGATTCATCCCATGACTGGGCAGTTAGCATTAGGGGCTATAGGCTTTACAGGTGAGACAGAGAAGGAAGGAAAGGTGGGGGAGTGGTGCTCTATGTCAAGGAGCAATGCACATCATCTGCCAGCAGAATGGGGTCATAGGAGGGGCAAGCTGAAGTGCTCTGGGTCAAGATACAAGGGGGCCATGGGGAGAGGGATCCAATGGTGGGGGTCTACTACAGACCCTCCAGCCAAGGGGAGGAGCTGGACCAGGAATTTTTGGGTCAGCTTGCAGAGGCACTTAAGGCAAGGGATGTAGTTGTCACGGGTGATTTAAATTACCCGGACATCTGCTGGGAGGAACAGTCAGCCAGGTCGGACCATTCCAGGAGGTTCCTGGCCGAGATACAGGACCTCCACCTAATTCAGGAGGTGCACAGTCCCACCAGAGGAAATGCCCTGTTGGACCACAGGAGGCTGTTCCTTCTGCCTGGGACGGCACTAGGCGCAGCTTGCACCTGGAAGATTGGTGGTGCTGCTGGCGCCAGCCAGCAACACCAGCCTCCTGTCATCCAGCAGGCAGATTGGGGCCTGCCCACACCCCCAGGAGGACTGTGGGGGCTGTGCTGTACTGCTCCCAGGGGTGTGGGCCCCTGATCTGCCTGCCACACAACAGAAGGCTGGTGCTGCTGCCTGGGGCCAGCAGCGAGGCCCAGGGCAAGTCAGCTCAAGTGGGGATGCACCCCTGCTGATTGCCCCGGCCCCAACCTCCTCAGGCTGGCTCTGGTACAGGGCCCTGGGATCAGGGCGGGTCCCCATGTGAGCCTATTTGCCCTGGGCCCCGCCACTGGCCCCAGGTGGGAGAACCAGCCTCCTGTGATCTGGTAGGCATATCGGGGCCCACACCGCCAGGACCAGTCTGGCACAGTCCCTTCAGCCCTCCCCAGGGTGTGGGCAAGCCCCAATCTGCCTGCCAGATGACAGGGGACTGGTGCTGCTGGCTGGGGCCAGTGGCAGCACCAATCTTCCCAGTGCTGGGTGTGGGCTGAGCCCAGAGCCATACCAGACAGCAGGTGTGGAATAGCCTAGGAGCAAAATGTCGAAACAGCAAAACAGTTTTGACGAAATGAAACAGAACAGTGCTTTCGAAATGAAATGAAATTCAAAATGAAACACTGTTCTGTTGAAACACTGAAGCAGAACAGTGCTGTTTTCCACAGCCTTACTGTTCACCTGCTTATTGGTTCAATCTCTGCAGCTTAGACTAACCTGCAAAGATTGTATTGATTCAGCCTTCAGCTTTTTGACTATCTGTACTTAGCCACTGAATGCATGCCTATAGTTTCTACAAGGAAAGCAGCGATTCTCCTACCAGAAAATGTAATGCCTCTGCAAAGCCTATGCATGCTACACTTAAATATCTGTGAAATTGATCTAATAAAAGTACCAAATACCAACAGCCATTTGACTGCCTTTTACTGTTTTCCCCAAATAAAGGCATCTCCTAATGTTTGGTACTGTTTACTTTTTAAAAGATTGCGTGCGCTTTGTAAGCAAAGTTTCTATAGTGCCACTTGATTTGCACAAAATTCTTGGGCATTATAATATAAGCCCAAAACTCCACACAATTTAATACCAAATGTTAAAAGGTATCTACAATTTTCAAAGAATAAACTACCAAATGCACTAGTTGGCTCATTAAATAGTTCAAATAGAATGTTTTTATCCTTTTCAATACTGTCTTCCAATTAAATACAAACTATCCTCATTGGCCATAAAAATCAATTATGCTACAAAAATCCAGAGAACTTGACCTAAATTAACATTTGGATGCACTATTTCAGATGCTAATTGCATGAGTCCTTCACTAGAAGTCACTGAAGAGGCCTCAGAAGTAGCTGAAACCACAAATCAGTATACTGCCAAAATTATTAGTTCCAAAAGCACTGGAAGACTTTAGGTCAGAGTAAAAAAAAAAGAGAGAGAAAGAGAAAGAAAGGAAGAGATCCTGAGGCTACATTCACTACACAAAACTTGGGCACTGTATCTGACAAAAATTAGTAACTTTATGGCATCTCAAAATGTCCAAGCAAGCCAAGCCTGTTGATTACCATGAAAAAGCATCATACACTTGTCAACAGGGAACCAGGTTTTCTATTTGCTGTGGCAAAACGCAAATTATCTCCTTTAAAAGGAGAAAAACATGGATTATCTCTTTTAAACCTGGGAAACCACAGGTTTTTCCTTGCAGGCTGACAGAGTTCCAGCTTGCAAGGAGCTTCTTGGGGCTGGGGGAGGAGTGAGACGCAGAGGGCACCATGTGTATGTGCAAGCGCACGCACACATGCGGCAACCAGGCAGTATGATGGTGAGCAGCTCCCACAGCTCGCTCCAGGTAAGTCTATGAGGGTGCTGGGGGGGTGCCCACAGGTAACATGGCTGGGGCGTGGGGAAAGGCATGTGATGCCCAGATTTCTGTGGTCATAATGGGGTGGAGTCTGCAGCATGGTCAGACCAGCTCCAACAAGAGCTTCCTCCATGGCCCAGAGGGTGGGGTCGGGGCATGGGAAGGAGCACCACGCCACCATAGCGATGCACCCCCTGCCTGTCTGGTAGCAGTGGGGTGCACAACTCCACACCACTGCTGCACCTCATCTTGGCAGCAATGGTGGTGCGGTGCTCCTCCCTGTACCAGGTCCTCTCAGCTGGGCTGTGGAGACAGCTCCTGCCTGCAACCTGCCCAGCCACGCTGCAGCTCCGCACCTCACTACTGGCACAGAAAGTATATATAGAAGCATGTGCCACCCTGCCAGTGGCCCCACCCAATCTGCATGCATTGCCTATATCCACCACCCACCCCCTTCCTCACACACTGGGGGTCTGAGGGCTGGAGGCAGCAGGTCAGGAGTGAAGGGCACTGGCAAATTAGGGCTGCTCAGCACCACAAAGCAGTGGGGGCAGGGAGCACAGCTGCTGCTGGATCCACAGCTTGGCGAGTGCTTGGCCATCAGGCCAAATAGGAAACAGCACATGGAGGCATGGAGTCACATGTCATCAGGCCAAGTGGGCTCTGTGCCTCCACGATCATCTCCCCGCTGGAGGGATGGAAGCCTCATGTGGAGGCATCGAACCGGCCAGACCGACTCAATGGCGTGCAGCCCATACCCAACCAGAAACCACACACTTACCCACACCCCCCCATGCCTAACCACAACCCCACACCCACCACCCCCGCTCCTGCAGGCAGGAGCTCTCCTCCCCACTTACCCAGCTGTCCAGTTGCACAGCTCTATGCCTTCACATCATGGAGGTGGAGGCACAGAGCCTGCCACGGTTAAATTATGCAATTATGTGTGGTCATGCCTTTTATGTGCAAAATTGCACATGTGCATAATTACATAATTCCCCAGGGTGCATATGCAAAGACAGAGAGAGGTATCAATATAGATATCTTGATATACAGTGGCATTTCATTTCAGTGATCTCTCTCCCCCTCCATACATACATACATACATACATACATACATACATACGTGTAGAAAGAGATCATTAAAATGAAATGCC